TATATATATATATATATATATATATATATATATATATATTTGTAACACACAATAAAAACCAAGGAATAAGAACATATTATAATCATAAGATTACCCTCTTCCAAGCATCTAGACTAAAATCCAATGCATGCTTTGTATGGCAGGCCAGATGTGTTTTTTTTTCACTACCGTCTTTTACGGAATACAAGACACACCCTTATTTTGAAGACAGAGTTTTGGGGAAAAAAAAAAGCTACATTTGCATTTGAAAGATTTTTAATCAACAAAAAATGAATTTAATTTTGTAAAAATTAGTATATATTGTTCTAAACAAACAAGAGCTCAAAACATCAAGATCCTTATTCTGCTCCACATTAAACAGGGATTGTCGTGTATTTACAAGCCTTTTCACTCTCATTCATTACTATAACGATATACACAAGCCATGTGTAAATATATCTAAATAGGCATGCATAGTTTAGTTCAACTGAATGTGTTATTTGTAACAATAATAGTTTTTTTCTTTTAAAAACATAACTATTTATAATGCTCCCTAAATAATAAAAAAATTTATATAATATATATTATTCATACCTTCGATGTATAGGACGCAAGCACATTTTGACATCAAATTTTGGGGTAAAAAAGTGCGTCTTATACACCGAAAAATACGGTATTTAGAAATTTGTCTTAGTCATAAATGTCATTGTTTATGAATCTTAATGGCTATTTAGTGTTTTGGAAGTGTTCTAATTAGTTGATCATTTAATGACAAATGATAGTAGTTGTTTGTGAGGGATAGAATTTCCATCCCTGCAGGTACTCCCCTCTGGCTGGAGATTTGCTGGCAACCAATCCTCTCTTAGCCGGGAACGCCCTCAACGGTTCAGGGTGGTGCATCTTCGTGTACAATCTTGCTCCTGATACCGAGGAGAATCTCTTATGGCAACTCTTTGGACCCTTTGGGGCCGTACAGAGCGTTAAGGTTATTCGGGATCTGCAGACAAACAAGTGCAAGGGATTTGGCTTCGTGACAATGACCAATTACGACGAAGCTCTGGTTGCCATCCAGAGCCTAAACGGATACACTTTGGGGAATAGAGTTCTCCAAGTGTCCTTTAAGACCAACAAGTGCAAGACATAAAATCTACCTCTACTGCTCACGGGTCAGGGGATGGGCGAGGGTACGATTCAGGTAGGGAAGGTACTCGATGACTTCCTACTCTACCTCTGTCGTAAACCAACCCTTCAATGAAATACTTTAAACGAAGTGCTTCGTAACTGCAGCTCTAATCATCATGAATCTTGATGATTCCAACTTCTGGAAATCCTAGTCATGACATGTATTTATTAAAACTTTCTACACCAAATTTCCCAAAAGCCAAAGTAAATTTTTTACACTATGTGAACGTATGTCCGGTATGATGTATGTCGGGTAAGACATACGGGGTTTGAGACTAGCATCTATTTGCTACAATAATATTTTCTTCATTATTGTTATTATTATTTTTTGCCGTCGTTTCTCAGATTGTTTGGTCATCCTTTACGATGGTGGGGTTGGCGTTTTAATCATGGCGTATTGCTTATTCGGTCACAATGTTTAAAATATTAATTTACCTACCAGAGTAGTAATGCCCCTTAAAATGATTATTTTACCAGTGTTTGATCTCATTTAAAGGGAATACTTTTTACTAGTCGAGGATGACCAAAACTATACCAACAGTAGTTTGAATATTACCTTTACCCTAAGGTATTTTAACTTATTTTAAACTGCTTTTTTGTTAATAGGTCCTATGAGTATTTATTTGGACAAGTATTTGCTGTTGTCTTTGTGAGTATATTAGTCATTGTTATGATCACGTAGATGCTAAATTTATAAGCATTGATTTAGAAAACCGGCAACTGTTTTCTCTCCTCTTTATTTTGATTACCAGCAATTAATTTTTTGCTTTCCTTTTGTGTTTCATGTTATTTTTGAAGCCTACTCCGGCTTTATTGTAGTCTTATTTTGTTGAATTAAACGAATTTTTGCCACATTTTGTTATGAATGAGTTTGTTTATTTTGATTCTTTTTTAGTTTTAGTAGGTGCTTATCATAATAAACACCCTTTTTATTTATTTTTAGAGGCACAGTTTTAATAGGCCTAGTACCCTGCATGCAGTTATTATTGTTAGTTAAAATGATTTTGCATGCATTCGGAGATGGGGGGGGGGGGGTGGAGTGGGGTCTCAGCGATGTGCACAAGGCTTACCCGTACCACCAACCATCCGCCATTTTAGTAGCTCCTAAATGGAAATTGGAGCCAACACTACCGCCACCACGGCCACTTCCACGAGAATCTATTTTTGTAAAAGAGTTAATAGAAAAGCTGAAGATAAGGAAATGGTAAGAGCCAGGCTCTTGGTGTGTTATACCGAAGTGCTGTGTGTGTGATGTGTGTCCCACAGTTGTTTACTAGTTTTGGTAGGGTATAGAATAAAATCTTATCATTTGTGTCCATGAGATGTCACCCCAAAGTGGATGGCGTCATACAATAAATGAATAACACATTCCAAGTTGTAATCAATGCTATCCAGGGATTTTTACAAGCATTCTTGGTATAAATATACCTGTAAAATATGTCACTAAAATGTTATCGATGCCTAAAGGGCACCAGTCATTAAAATTTGCCCAATGGCGAAAATTTTAAATTTTGGTAAGTCGTTACCTTTAAATAGTACTAACAAAAAAAAAGAAATTTAGATTATAAAGAGTTTATATGCAAAGAGAGCATAGGGTTTCAAGCTTATGGAATAGTGTTGGATCTAGGAAATAACTGTTTACCTACAGCATACTTAGAGCAGCTAGTAGGGTGCTTTGAATTCCACACAATATTCCCTTTGTAAGTATAGGTTACCTCCCATGTTCCTTTGTGTGTGTTCTACCACATGGTTGTAAAGACTGTAGTCCTATACTGGATTCGAATTTCTTCAAAGGATAAGGAGGCCTTGTGCCAGGTGCTGAACTTTTGCGCCTTGTGTGCAATATTGTATGCAACTCCAATAATTACTTTGAATCAGAATTCGATATTTTAGATGTCATTCGATGAAATTCCTACCTTTTTTTTATACGTGAAACAAAAGAATTTGAATAATTCCATAGGTTATATATCCGTTTAATATTCCACTGCTTAATGTGAGATTATTCTCAATGGGCACAATAAGGTCCACAATGACCACTGGCTAAGATACTTTCCGGTGATTTTTGTTGGTTGTAATTTGTGACCAGTGATTATGTGACATTCCGTTTTGGTGGTAGTGTGATAAGTTCTAAAGAACCTTTTTGACGCAATAAGCATTTGGTAAGCTAAGTAAGAGCATAAGCTTGGGATATGCAGGTCTGTAAAACATTTTTGCTAGTAATCTTATAATTTGGCAGAACAGTTTCCAAGTAAAAGTATTTTTGTTTTTCATTGTCTAATGATGAACATTTCGTTCAGACAAGTCTTGTATTTGCGAGTGCATAGTGGTATTTTGTGCTTGCTAATATTGTTTAGCTTTTCCTTTTGCTAATAACCAATTCTATTTATTTTCTGATCTACTTGAAAATTGTATTTATGAGAGCTGACATCTTTCCGAATATTTCTCTATAGTCTCAACAAAATTTCATTCTGTATGCTCGGATACCAGTCTCCTCCGAATATCCTGGTTAATGCTATTAGATTGACCAATACAACAACCTAAGCATTCTTCCTCTTAAAAAGTATCCATACAAAAATCGGCCTGTTTGCTCCACGCTGGCTTTTACTTAGTTTTTACTTCATTCCAGAAATCTCCTATTGACGTTTATGTGTTTCTACGTCTAGGGTTTTGATGTATTTGTGATATAAAATATTTTGAGTTTAAACATTAAAAGTAATTTATTCTACATTTATTGACCAACTTGGGTCAAATTTCAAAAGTTGTATTCCAACGCTCTTCATCATAATATTTTCTGATTTACGAAACACAATACTCAACTTCCGAATCTCCGCCGAAAACGCCCGAACACACCTCGTCTCCGAGGCTCTAGGGAAAGGGAAGACAAGAAGAAGCGTTGATTGGTCGGAATTGTTCGTATTAGTCTACTTAAGTAGCACCTCCTCACGTACTTAAATTTTAGAATAGTTTTTGTGCCGTTTGTCTGTGTGTGTTGCTTTAAGGTGTAGATGTTAAGTTGCCTTGTGTATGCTGAAGTAGCAGTTGTTTGAGTAATGTAACATTTTTCGTCGTATTGACGATTTTCAGTATACAAGATTACCGTAGTCTTTTTTCTCGATATTTTATCATATAGGATTTTGAGCATTCTTTTCTTGTTAATGATTATTCACGAGTCAAATATTTTGGTGTTTTTGGTGTTTTCTGAAGTTTATCATGTACCCCTCTATTTACGTATTATATAGTTTGGGTTTATTGCAGTTCAATTAGACGCAACGCCATCTACCGGCTTTATATGGAAGCAAGTTAAACCCTACGCTGAATTCCCTGGGATTGGCAACGCGTTGTTTGAGGGTGTTCTTGCTTGCGGTTTTTCGGGACGGCCTTGTATATTGCAGTTTGATTAAAGATATAGCTGCAATCAAATTAAAAAAAAGTAACTGAACTAACGAGACTTGAGTGTTAAGGGGTTCGAAATTAAATCTAAGTAGACCAATGGCTGTTGTTTTCTGCGTAGTTTTGACTGTACTGCAATATTTGTACTTTTCCATGTTGAAAATAAATTCCATCTTGGAACCCAAGTTTCTGGTTTCGCTATCTACTTACCTAACGGTAAACACACTTTTCTTTTACATGTGTGCGAAATATAGTTGCTAAACAGACAGGGAGAATAACTGTCGTTTTTACATTAAAACAAAAATCGTAATTTATTGTTTATTGGCATTTCAGTCTCCAAATTGCATGATTAATACAGTTTAAATATATCTCTGATCGTCAGGATTTTTTTTTCGATTTTGCTTATTAGAATAACAGTTGAAATGTAAATAAAGTTTCTTAATTTGTTTAATATTCAGGGCATGGGATACAAGTTTCTAACATTTATCACTAACGGTGTGAACTCAAGACCAAGTGGTTGTCAGCTCCTTAAGTTTGAATAAATGACAGGTGTAGATTGGTGAAAATAAAGTTGACTTTAAAGACGTTGATATGTAAATATCTTGGTTTCAGAACTTTAATCGGTTATAAACTACATTATTTTATATGTTCGAAACAAAACTATCGTGACTGTTACGTAGTAGTTAGGTAAGCTTGATTGAATTTTTTTCCGGCAAAACACATCTGGAAAATAGTTGTATTGAACAATACCTTCCAGAGTGAAAAATGAGGCAAAAATAGCTGCAAGTTATGTTAACTTTGTGTATTACATACCATCTTGTATTTAAAAATTGATTATTTTTTCTTTAAGAGAATATTGGAAATATTTTTCCAAATAAATTTTCAAACGTATTTAATTAAACGAAACTAATAATTTGACAAAATTATTTTGTTCCAGGAACACTTGAATATTCCTTCTACATTTTTAAAGTTTTTAGCTAATATGCCAACTTTTGTTTGCCAGAATTTCTTAGTCAATCATAAGGTTGCTCAAAGTAATAAGAGTGACAAAGGTTAGAACAACTGGTAAAAGTTGTAGCTTGTGATGCGTTGGCCGACGCGTTTCGAATGCATTCTGCATCCATTATCAAGGCTGAATGTTATGC